AAAGTGAGTGTGTGGTAGTGTGTGATGTAGTGAGTGTGTGATAGTGTGTGATATATAGTATGCGATATAGTGAGTGTGTGATAGTGTGTCATATAGTGAGCATAGGCGGCGGAACGGGGAGGGCACCGGGCACCGTGCCACGCTTTGATTTTAGCAATTTAACCCGCGCCCTGCTGGGGGTCCTGGATTTCCACGCCCTGCTGGGGGGGGGGGTGTTTGAACACCCCCCCCCCCTTGTAACTCGGCTCCTGGGCCACGTAGCGATACGCGGAAGGCGGCGTTCGAAAGAGCGTAAAAAATAATGACGAAATCACTTCGGTCAATTTTTTGGTCCGGTCAAAGGTCAGGTCACCAGAGGTCATTGAAGGCAAAATTTCGCCGATTTCCAGGTCGAATGTCGAAAATTTCCAAGAAGCCAACGCATAACTCGAGAACCAATAGAGCTACAGCGCCGCGGAAAAGCGCATTCGATAGCCCTATTAACGCCCTTTCTGAGTAATTCTCTCAGATTTGACCTAACGTCAACGGTTTTGCCTGCAGGGGGCAAAAACTGTAAAAATAGCCGATTTTTTCGAAAACAGTTTTTCTGCAATAACTTTTGACCCAAGCCTTGTACGAGCTTACTTTTACCGGCATCGTGTTCCTCTCGTCAAGACGCATCGAATGAACTATGACTTGACCTTGAAAGGTCAACTTGAAAATTTGACCTCAGGTCAAGGTCATGACCTGACCGGAAAGGGTCATGTTGCATATCAGTCGATCCGTATCGTCGAGCTGAACACATCTAAGGCGTTTTCATCGCTCTAGCATGCCTCTATCAAAAGTTATTTGCGAAAAACTGTTAGATACCATTCGTGACCTAAGATGACCTCAGGGCATAAACAAGGGTCACGGACACCATTTTCAAGTTCAGTGTGTCTAAACCACTTGTAATTCGGTGTTTGGGAGTGTTTATAATGTCTTTCATCCAAAAGAGGCGCATTTCAATTTTCTCCCATTGACTTATAATGGGGAGGTCGCAAAATTGACCTGACCTTAGGTCATCGATATCAAAATTCTGAGATATACATTTTGTACATGCTATTGCTCTTAGCAATCGCTGAAAGTTTCAAAGCGATCGGTCACTCGGTGTAGCTATGACAGACATTGAAACTTTTTATGAGGTGAGGTCACTTCAAGTGACCTGGTGACCTGACCTTGAATGACCTTGGTCTGAAATTTTCACAACATGTGTAGAATTGATGTATGGTAAGGTGTACCAAAAACGGCGGCGCTCCGCGCCGCCGTTTTTGAGATATTCGCGAAAAACCACAAGGGGGGTGTTCAAACACCCCCCCCCCCCAGCAGGGCACGGGTTAACCCGCGCCCGGCTGGCGGTCCTGGATTTCCACGCCCTGCTGGGGGGGGGGGTGTTTGAACACCCCCCCCCCCTTATAACTCGGCTCCTGGGCCACTTAGCGATACGCGGAAGGCGGCGTTCGAAAGAGCGTCAAAAATAATGAGGAAATCACAAAGGCTAATTTTTGCTCAGGTCAAAGGTCAGGTCACCAGAGGTCATTGAAGGCAAAATTTCGCCGATTTCCAGGTCGAATGTCGACAATTTCCAAGAAGCCAACGCATAACTCGGGAACCAAAAGAGCTACAGCGCCTCAGAAAAGCGCATTTGATAGCCCTATTAACGCCCTTTCTGAGTAATTTGCTCAGATTTGACCTAACGTCAACGGTTTTGCCTGCAGGGGGCAAAAACTGCAAAAATAGCCGATTTTTTCGGAAACAGTTTTTCTGCAATAACTTTTGACCCAAGCCTTGTACGAGGTTACTTTTACCGGCATCGTGTTCCTCTTGTCAAGACGCATCGAATGAACTATAACTTGACCTTGAAAGGTCAACTTGAAAATTTGACCTCAGGTCAAGGTCATGACCTGACCGGAAAAGGTCATGTTGCATATCAGTCGATCCGTATCGTCGAGCTGAACACATCTAAGGCGTTTTCATCGCTCTAGCATGCCTCTATCAAAAGTTATTTGCGAAAAACTGTTAGATACCATTCGTGACCTAAGATGACCTCAGGACATAAACAGGGGTCACGGACACCATTTTAATGTTCAATGTGTCTAAACCACTTGTAATTCAGTGTTTGCGAGTGTTTATAATGTCTTTCGTCCAAAAGAGTCGCATTTCAATTTTCTCCCATTTACTTATGATGGGGAGGTCGCAAAATTGACCTGACCTTAGGTCATCGATATCAAAATTCTGAGATATACATTTTGTACATGTCATTGCTCTTAGCAATCGCTGAAAGTTTCAAAGCAATCGGTCACTCGGTGTAGCTATGACAGACATTGAAACTTTTTATAAGGTGAGGTCACTTCAAGTGACCTGGTGACCTGACCTTGAATGACCTTGGTCTGAAATTTTCACAACATGTGTAGATTTGATGTATGATAAGGTGTACCAGAAACGGCGGCGCTCCGCGCCGCCGTTTTTGAGATATTTGCGAAAAACCACATGGGGGGGGGGGTGTTCAAACACCCCCCAGCAGGGCGCGGGTTAACCCGCGCCCCGTTGGGCTCTGCCGAGCAACGCGCCCGGTTGGGGGGGGGGCCATTTTGGCCCCCCCCCTAAGATCTCGAGAACCACGCAACATAGCGACAAGCGGTAAACGGCGTTGGATAGCCCCAACGGGGAACTACCTTGTGACCCAATTTTATTGACCTAGGTCAAACCGATGACGTCACAGGTCAGGTCAAAGGTCCAATTTTCACCGTTTACAGGCACTTCAAGAAATGCGTTATAAAATCGAGTAAAATGCATTTCATTGAAAATCATCGATGGGGAAATGTTCTTCAAACACATATTTTGCTATTTGAGGTCACTGATACCAGGTCAGGTCACAGAGGTCAGGTCACGGGGGGGTCACAATATGAAAGTGTCGTGTGATACATGTTTTATGGTCCATTTTACATGACAAATGCGATTTTATGGGTCAGGCAGCCTTTGGGGCCAGCTTAGATCACGTTTTGGTCAAGGTCAGGTCAAGGTCAGGTCAAGGTCAGGTCAAATTAGGTCAAATTTCAAAGTTAATATTTTTGCATAAAATGGGTATCGAATCGATGCAGCTCGTCACGGGGAGTTCAATGGTGGTCTTTGTTTTGCCGTACGTGGTCTAGAATTGCTAAAAATTGAGTTCAAAAATTTGACGTCATCATTTTTGAACAGTTTTTTCGCTATAACTTGGCCAAAAAACGAGATATCGATCTGAAATTTGGTATGTATATAGAAGAGCGCTGGGACTATCACATATATTCCGGTTTTTTCGAAATTCGGAAAAATTTTGGATTTTTTCAAAGTTTTTCTAAAAAAATCAATTTTTTGAATTTTTTTTGGTCAAAAACCAAAAATTTTGAAAATCCGAGATAGCAGTTTTGTAGCGCCGCTTTTTGTCTACTAGACCATATAAAGAACTTTGAAATTGCTTGATAACTGTAGATTTGGTGAGCGTTTCAAGATTGCATGTTTTTTGCTCATTTTTGCTCGAACATGACCTCAGTTTGACCTCAATAACTCCTGACCTAAGGTGACCTAAGACTTGAAATTTGGTGTGAAGGTGTCAAATTGATGCCCGGGAAGGTACTGAAAATTTGGCGGCGCTGCGCGCCGCCGTTTTCTTGCTATTCAGGAAAAACCACAGGGGGGGCCAAAATGGCCCCCCCCCAACGGGGCGAGGGTTAACATTAGCCCTAGGGTCGTGGCATGGAAAGAATGAGACCAAAAGTCGACAGTGCCCCCCCCCCTTAACCCTTGCCCTGGCAGGGGGTTGATGCAACCCCCCCTAAGGGTTTTCGAAGCTAGCGTAAAAACGGCGTCAAAACGGGTGACTTTACCTTTTGTGACCTGGAGTAAAAACAAAATGCACACGATGCGAAATAAATGCAGCATGACCTACACCAAGGTACGCAAAAAACTGGTGGCGTAGTAAAAAAAGGCCTCCCCCACCCCACCCCTCCGTTGAGCGATCGTTAAAAATTTTTATCTCGCGACTGTATGGCGCCCTCCTTGGGTGAGGTGGCGCCCTCCAAACTCTTGCCCCCCTCCCCCCTTCGCGATTTTCTCAATACGTCGCTGCGAGTGAACGATTGCCTTGAAACTTTCAGCGATTGATAAGAGTAACAGTATATTCCATAAAATGTAGATCTCGGAATTTTGATATCGGTGACCCAAGGTCAGGTCAATTTTGCGGCCTCTCCATTATAAGTCAATGGCAGGAAATTGAAAAGGGTCTGTTTTGCACGAACGCCGTTCTAGACAATCTCAAACATCGGGATGCAAGTTAATTTGACACCCTGAAGGCTGAACCGGAAAATGGCACCTTTGACCCCTTGTTATGTCCCCGAGGTCATCTCAGGTCTCGAATGGTATCTAACAGTTTTTCACTAATACCTTTTGATTGAGGAATGCTAGAGCGATGTAAATGCCTTAGATGTGCTCGGCTCGACGATGCGGATTGACTGATATACAACGTGACCTTTTCGGTAGGGTCATGACCTTGACCTGAAGTCAAATTATCAAGTTGACCTTTCAAGGTCAAACTATAGTTCATTCGAAGCGTCTCGACAAGTGGAACACGATGCTGGCAAAAGTAATATCGTGGCTCTTTTGAGTCAAAAGATGTTGCCGAAAAATCACTTCTCGCAAAACGGCTATTTTTGGATTTTTTGCCCTCTGGAGGCCAAACCGTTGACCTGAGGTCAAATCTGAGGAAATGTTAGCGAAAGAGCGCTAAAAGAGATATCGAATCCGCTTTTCCGCGGCGCTGTAGCTCTATTGGTTCCAGAGTAAGTTGTTTCCAGTTTCCAAAATGTTGAAATTGCCAACATTTTATCTTTGGTGACCTCTGGTGACCTGACCTCTGACCTCACCCAAAAAATGACCGAGTGTTTTCGTCCTTATTTTGGACGTTCTTTCGATTGTCGCTTACCGCGTGTCGCTACGTGGTCCAGGAGCCGAGTTAAAAGCGGGTGTTCAGACACCCCCCCCCCCCCCCGGCCCGGCGCGGAAGTCTTGGAGCACCGTCCCGGCGCGGGTTAAGACAATCATTTGTTGTGGATAACCAGGTGTTTTTCTTCAGCGCTCCCCTTTGCCTCAGTCACGTCTCTGAACGTGGCACCCGTGCATCACAAGACGCGCTTACCACATTAAACTTTACTGTCCCTCATCAGCACTCGTTGGCTTGGTGTGAGACCCCTGCCCTATGGCCGAGACAGCCGCCAGCCCACCGCGCGGCGCACCCCTCCTCAGCGGGCGGGGTAGTGCATCACGCGCTCCCCGCCCACACCCTCCCTCCTTCCCGAGTTCGTGTCACGAGGCCAGTGGCGCCAGTGGCGAGGGGACATTCTCTTTAGACATGCTGTCCGGTGAGTTCGGGACGGGTGCCGACTGCCGGGGCGGCGACCTCGGATGGGGCACGGCTAGGGGACGGACGGAGCACCGGCATTGTCAGCCTGCGGGCAGTCTGCGGTCGGCCCGGGTGGGGTACCGGGTGTCGTAATGGGATATTTTGACACTGCGGCTCGCCGACCAGTGGTCTCTGGAGCTCGCCAGGACGGCAGGTCAGTCCTGACGGCCGCGTATGTGGCCACGTGACGGTAGTGTGGGCTGCTCAGTTTATTTTAAATGTTATGCCAAATTAGATGTCGCTGCTACGGGACCACACACTTCTGTCTTCTGACTTACATACTTTGTTTGTTAATTTGTTGTCTGGTTTGCTATGCACCGTCGCGTCTCTGTCTTCATCTGGACTGTCGGCGTGTCTTCCGGCAAGTTCCGGCGCCATTAGCTCCATCTCCAAATTCACACCTGGACCGGTGTTCCCGCTGCGTCGGCGAAATCTGACCTTGAATGACCTCTGGTGACCTGACCTTGGAACTGACCGAAAAAGTGACCAAAGTGGTTTCGTCATTATTATTGACACTCTTTCGAACGCCGCTTTCCGCGTAGTGCAACGTGCCCCAGCAGCCGAGGCAGAAGGGTGTTTTAACACCCCCCAGCAGGGCATGGAAATCCCGGACCCCAGCGGGGCGCGGGTTATTCGTGGCTATTGTAATGGTGTGTTGTCCCTCCCCCCCCCCCTCCTGTGTGATAACGTAACGGTGACGAGACGGAGTGGCCCTCCCCTCCTCGCATGGCTGGGTAATGACGCCTCCCCCCTCTGTGTTACCGGGTGGTGACGACTGACGGTGGCGGAACAATGGGACGTCTCCTCCCTGCTAGAGCGGGCACGTCAGCAGCGATCCGTGGACGTCACCCACTGCCACCAGCAGTCGTCTCGCCCCCACTCGGTGTTCACGCTGCGCCGGGAGGAGCGCAGCGAGCTGACACGGCTCACTGTACCTGGTCGACCTGCTCCGGCTCCGAGTCCGCAGCGCAGGGCGACCGGCTCACCGAGACAAACAATATCAACTATAGTTCGTTTTTCTTAAGTTTGCCCCTCACTGTAAACGCCTTTTTCGTCTTTTTGAACACAGCACGAGAATTGCTAGCTGAATTACTGAGAAAACTGGTCGGCGCACATTGTATTGTAGGTATGAATAATATTTTCAAAATAAGTTTTGAACACCGACGATTTAACGTTATGTTAAGCGCCGTGCAACTTATTTATTAGTTCAGACATAATTCCTGAGAAGTCGTCTATCCCTGTGGGGCTGTAGGTATTGGCAAATACGAGCTACGAGTCTGTGAAATAGTAAATAAATTTGATGAAATTGATCGTCTGTGAAATCTGGTCAAATTAATGTGCGCCAACCAGTTTTCTCAGTAATTCAGCTAGCACTTCTCGTGCTGTGTTCAAAAAGACGTTTACAGTGACGGGCAAACTTAAGAAAAACGAACTATAGTCGCTGGCCACTGGCCAGTCTGGGCAGCGTTATCATGGCGCTGGGAAATACGGTAACTAACTTCGCCCGGTCGGTGACGAGCTGCCGATAGATACTAAGCGCATGATGGTGACATATCTGCGTTTGATGCTTATGAACACATGGTATGGTATTTAGCGCGATTGTCTGTGATGATGCTTGCATGATTGTTGGGTTTAGGGATCCTCAAAGGCGCGGTGTTTCGTAGCGCCCTATTTGGTGGTGCTGTTTTGCTCGAGTGATCTGCGTCCGTTCCGATCGATTCGTTAACCAACCTCGCCCTGCCCCGCTCAATGCCTGACCGCCCTCCGTTTGTGCCCCACGGCAGGACCACGTGCCGTTCCGCGACTCCAAGCTGACGCACCTGCTGCACCACTCACTGGACGGCAACAGCAAGACGCTGATGCTCGTGAACATGTCGCGGCGCGAGGACGGCGCCGGCGAGACGCTCAACTCGCTGCGTTTGGCCGGCCAGGTCAACCACTGTCTTATCGGCACCGCCACGAAACCTACCCGGTGAGGGCGGTCACACCGCGGCGAGGCTGAGCCGTGCAAGGATGGGTGTAGTTTTCCAGCGACGAACGGAGCGATGGACTCTCCAACTTCCTGATCTCTCGGGCGCACGCTGTATGTACTTTACCGCCGGGAACGGTACATCTGACAGTCGGAGCTATCCGGCCCCGCGCGGAAGTCGCCGGGCACTGGTCCGGTGCGGGTTAGCATGTTTTGTTTATAGGATATTTTATAAAATTAAAGTACCTGATCATCGACAACCAGCTGTTTGTTGTCCTGGTACACATTCAAGCGATGTTGGTAGATGTCTGTTGATGTCTGTTGACGCTGTGCCATCTCTCCGACAGGCTGGCCAATGGCAGTGCACCACGAATTCGGTACGGCTGAAACATTACAGCTCTACAACACGCCACTGATCTTCATACACCGAACATCGGGCTTCAGTACAACGTCACTCTGCAGCAGAAATAAGTGAACGGGAGGATCGCCACCGAACGCCTTCGACCAAACATCGCGCCTCACCAAAACGTTACTTTGAAGCTGAAAAAGTGAGCTAGAGGACAAGTGATGTCACGTTATGACAACTTGAGTGCCCGTGAAGGCGATGGCAGGTGCGGTGCTGTCTATGGAGGTGAGTATTGAATAAACGTATCTCATGCACTGGGCAAATATGATGTGGATATTGAGGTGTGTATTGAATAAACAACGTATCTCATGCTCGGGACACATGTGATGTGTCCATGGAGGCGTGCATTGAATAAACTTATCAGTCGGGGGAGGTTTGGTCAATCGTTGTCATTCTTAGCACGTGCTATTTTTGTCACACGTGCCAAAAATGGCAACGGTTCTGTTATTTTTGACAACGGTGAAGCCGATTTCACTCCTCAGCGAGGAAATCACGATTTTGGAAATACAAGCACTGATTTTGGAAAAGAAGTGCTGCCACCTGGTGCAAGAATAATAAACCAGCTGTAATACGGGCCGTTGTATGGTAATTTCTTTTGTGGCCTGAAGTTCGAACTTAAAAACTACTGTTACGTGTCATGTTGTGCCGAACTACGACCATGTCGTACGCAACTAAATCATCGTGTCGGTCGGAACTCTGCTTCAGGGCGAATTAAGCGGTTTTCTGCGATGCATCATTCGTTTAAAATAAAATAGCATGTCATTCGGAGTGTAATCGCCACGCCGATTGTGGATTGCTCTTGATCGTCAATACATACATACATACATACATACATTGTTTGTCGTTTGAAGAGAGAGAGAGAGGGGGAGACAGACAGATAAACAGACAGACAGACAGATAGAGAGACAGACAGACAGGCAGGCAGACAGACAGACAGACAGACGAAAGAGCAGTGTAGAAGGATTAGAGGGGAACGTGAGGGAGAGCGGGAAAGCGGAGATAAAGGATTAGAGGGGAACGAGAGGGGGCGCGAGGGGAGAGCCGAGAAAGTAATTATTAGCACAGCTGTGGAGCGTTTCCACTTTCCAGTAAAAATAATGATACTAGGATTATTAATGATAATAATGGTGTTCCAATGTTCCGATAGTGCAGAATCCTTAGCGTCCCTTATCAGTGATAAAATACATTTAATTTGAGCATATTTGACCTTCAATTATCTTATACTTTGGAGGTACACCCATAGAAAACCAAATGCTGTTTTTATATTAGAACATTGCCAGTGACTTTGGCAAGGCCTGGAATCTCAATGTCTGCATACATTCGACCCCAACACCGCTACCGCCCCGGGTGTCGTGCCTGGCGCCGCCTCTGCCCGCCCCACGTGACTGCCTCTGCCCTCCCGACCCCGCTCACCTGGCGCCGCCCCTGCGTCTGTCCTGCCCCCGGGCGGCGGCCGGTCGGCCGGAGCGCGGCTGGCCGTCGCGCGCGCGACCTCTTCGCTACCAGCGCTCGGTGAGGGCGGGCGGCACTCGCTGTGGTGACGGTATCTGGAAGAAATTTCGACTTGTACGAGGTAAGTACACAGCGAGAATTTACAATTCGGGCGTTTTATAGTGTTGTGTTTCGTAAATGAGCTAGGAAAGTTTTTCTTTTTTAGCGAGTGTAAGGCCAGATCGTTGCCTCATGGTTTGATGGGATAATTCAATTTTAATATTCCATATTTGCGATTTCTTTCTTTCAAATATTAAACAAATTAGAGCAATAAATCCACTAAGTGCGTGCTCTTGTACGACTTCACCCACCCTACCGATCACGAATATCATGTTAGTTTTGATCACAGATGATGTCTTTATGCATTTAGGCCAGGTCAGGTCAGGTCAACCAGTAGGGGTCCTGCCGGGCGTTCGTAGTACGTGTCAGCCGCCTGACAGCTTCGTAACATATTACGAAAGCACCAAAGCTACTTCGTAAATGTTCAAATGGTTGCTAAATTCGAATTCAGCTCCAAAACCTAGCCTTGAAACGTGTAGAACTCGAAAAAGTGAACCGAGGTCATCAAAGGTCAATGACCTGACCTGACCTTCAGGTGACCTTAACACCCACCCTAATGCATGGGACCAACATCATATCATATGTTTGAACGCTTGAAACCACGAAGACTGCAAACGTGCGGCTAATGCCAGCCGACATACGCCGAATCGCGATTCCGGCCAAACATGGTATCGAGAAATAGGTCACAGGTCAAAGATCACTTGGGTCAGCGTCACAAAATTTTCAAGGTAGGTGTAAAATCAACTTGAGGGTAGGTACTGGAAGTTTCGTCGCGATCGGCCACTTTTTACGTGAGTTATTCGCGAAAAACCGAGGGGAATGGGATCCGTTCGACCCCCCCCCCCCCCCCCCTATACGGGCGAGGGCTAAGCTGTCACAACCTAACAATTCTTTATTTTCGCCGTCATATCTCTCCAACTCTGCATGTAAAAGGCTGCCAATTGTCGACCAAAGCTGTGTTATACCGGCCGGTGGAGGCTTTGCGGCACAGCATAACTTCAGGCGTCATACGCTAGCGACATCTATGAGCGGGACTGTAACCATGCGGCGCAGCATAACTTCAGGCGCTGTATGCTAGCGACATCTATGGACAGGATTGTATTGATGTGGCACAACGTGTTTTCATGTCCAAGTGAGTGACTCGATGCCTCTTCTGTCGTTTCAGCATTGCGTTGTGTGATCAGCCGTCTGGGGCGGTGCCGCCACCCCTCTGTGTTCGCTGGACGACCACCGCGGGAGAGCGAGCCCCCGGTCCGGTGTCGGACCGACCTGTCAACAAACAGACTCGGAACGGTGAGCGCCTGGGGCCGTGATATAATCCACTTTGTGGCGGCCTACCCGCGACAGGAATTTAAATATGTATTCATAATCTGTAGTAACAGGCTTAGGCTATGGTACTTGTCAGTATGGCGGCGATTATTTTGTGCGAATGATTTTTTGGTACATTGGTTTGTTTTGAATTAAAATGAACAAATTAATAGAGCGAATGGGACGCAGCGACAAGGGATGTGGCACTACTTTGTAACTCATATTGCAGTCCATAGTTGCGATCGCTCTATCAAACAATCGTCTACATAATCATTGTAGTATTTTTCTTCATGTTTTGTTTCTTTTTCATGTGGTGGTTTTGTTTCTTCTTTCATGTGGTTTTTCATGTGGTCTATTTTACTTCAATTTATAACATGGTGTCATTTCTCCGACCGACCACAGCTCTGTGCGGCAGTACGTGCGCCGCCGTTGGTACCGAGACTAGAAACGTCCATCTGCCGGTCAAAACTGGACTGCGGCCGACGGGAACTCCAGCTCTCTCCCAGGTATGACATACACCTATACTTATGAGTGAACTGAATTCACACGAAGAACACTAGATATGGGCGCCGTAAGACCACGGCAGTTGGTGCGCCCTAAAACCACAATTAACTTACACTTTAGATCTGGGCGCCATATGGCCATTGCAGTCGGTGCACCCAGCAGCCCCAGTAAGCTAGATAAACACACTTTTGATTGTCACTAGGCTCTAGCTCTTTGTGTGTGGCAGGATTTGCAGAATTTGGTATGCTGATTCCAGTATTGTTTTTATTTCATGCGCGCCTGGGAGCTCGCGGGTTGGTGAACCAGCCTGATTGGGAATCTCCGGCGGCCTCACACCTGGACGAAAGATAAGTTTTTTTTCTGTCCGAGCTCTAGTTCGGACTAGTTCTAGTTCTACTTCTACTACTAGGAGTAGTTCGAACGCTAGTTTAGAACGAACCAGTTCTATGGTGTGAAACCAATACAAATGTTACATGAACTTGCGCTAATTTCGACCTGGCTCTGGCAATGTGACAAATGCAAACTTTGTACGAGATCGATATTTATTCCTTTCCACTCTTATTCCAGGTCCACCAAAGACGGCTGGTTCGCCGATGGCGGCCCGGCCGCTCCAACACACCACCGGGACCCGCCACAGGAGTCGTCTTACCAGGTGGGTCGGTGCACCGATGTGAGGCACTGTAACTGTTGTGACATCAATGCATGGTGTTTTCAAGGCTGCTCCACTCTAGACTTTGCCCTTGCGAGTTTCATCAGTTAAACATTTTGTACACTGTCCTCATAAGTGCGAGTCTGCGAGTTTTCTCTGATAGACTTTGTTCTTACCGATAAGCGGCGCATTAAGCATTTGCTTCAGTACGGAAGCGTTCCCAGAATGTATGTAGCTCAGTGCAGCCAACCTCCTATTTTTCGAAGTCTGCATAGTTTACTTGAAAATAAATCTGCGTTTGACGAATTTGCCAACCCAGCTTTGATGTTCGGTCTGGGACGGAATATCAACAACGACCAGAATATGTTTGAAACATGATCCAAAAAAGTAATGAAAGAAACTGGTATTACAAGCTATATAAATTTCATGCCTCAGACATTATCAAACTTTACTTGCAGAAAAGGTTGCGATATATTACCCACTATCCGGTCGGACAAAGATAAAGGAAGTGCGTTTTTCGGCTACTAGTCGTTTATTGTTTTCGTTTCAATAAACGACTAGTAGCCGAAAAAAAACGTACGTCGAATTACAATGTTAGTCGTAAAAGCTTGAAATCATACATTGGTAGTTCATACAAGGAAATAGTTAACTTTTAACCTTCGCCCCAGTGGGGGGGGGGGGATATTGATTATTTAATTACACAAAATAACATATTTGTGTTATTTTGTGTAATTTTGTGTAATTTAATTTGTGTAATTTTGGAAAATGTGTAAAAATTTTGACCCCAGGTCATGTCAGGTCAGGTCACCAGGTCAAGTTAACTGACCAAGCCTAAAAAAGTTTCCAATCATGTCCAGCCTGCAATGTTTGTCAGAAAGGTTTTAGTCTTGGTGGATTGCATGATGTTATGGGTGCCTACAATTTTTATCAGGGCTGCGGAGTCGGAGTCGGAGTCGGAGTCGGAGTCGGTAGGAGTCGACAGTTGTGACCGGAGTCGGAGTCGGAGTCGATTTTAGAAAGCCGAGCCGGAGTCGGAGTCGGAGTCACCGAAAATCTGTCGACTCCGCAGCCCTGCTAGGTCTGCGGAGTCGGAGTCGGGAGTTGGAGTCGGTCGGAGTCGACAATTCTGCCCGGAGTCGGAGTCGGAGTTGGAGCTGGTTTTTGAAAGCCGGAGTCGGAGTCGGAGTCGGAGTCGCCGAAAATCCATCGACTCCGCAGCCCTGATTTTTATATCTCTGATTTTTTATATCCGTGGCCTAAGGTCAGGTCAGTGGCGTGAACTTACCATTATAAGTCAATGGAGAAAAATGAAAATGCCTCTAGATCCGTATTCCGTGTGTACGCATAGGAACAGTCCAAATATTTCAAAATCACAATGATTTAAACCACCCGTGACGACCAAGGTGTCTTTTTTGCTGATAGCCTCTAGAAAGGTCATCCGAGGTCATTTGAGGCTACAAACAGATTTTTGCCAATAACTCTCGATTGGAAAGAGATAGGACGCTGGGGATGGTCTCATTGTGTTTGTCTTGAGACGCATCGAATGATATGCAACATGACCTTTTCCGGTCAGATCATGACCTTGACCTGAGGTCAAATTTTCAAGTTGACTTTTTAAGGTTAAATAATAGTTCATTCGACGCGTCTCGGCGAGAGGAATACGATTTTGGCAATAGAAATGTTGTGGCTTTTTTAAGTCAAAAGTTATTGTCGAAAAACACATTTCGTAAAAACAGCTATTTTTGGAGTTTTTGCCATCTGGAGGCTAAACCGTTGACCTAAGGTCAATTTTGATAATGAACTCATCAAAAGAAGAGTTCAAAAGCTATCGATTGTTTTTCCATGCGTTTTTCTAGCTATCATAGTTCCTGAGATAAATGTATGTTTTCTGAGAAATATAATGACATTTGGCAAATTTTGACCTTTGATGACCCCCAGTGACCCCAATATTGCTCTAAGATGAAAAATGACCGAAATACCCTCAAACGTACGCATTGGGAGCTATCCACTGCTTTTTACCGCGTCTTTCTAGCCCTCTTAGTTTTTGAGTTAGAGGTGGGTGGTAACATATGCCCCCCCCCCCCCACTAGGGCGAAGTTGGCTGAGACCGCCACTGGGGCGCGGGTTAACATGGGGTTTTGAACTGAAATAGCAGTTTTGTAGCTTGTGCTGAGACCAACTAGCACAAATCATAAGCTTGTACGGTCCAACGATCACCCTAAGCAAAGATATTCAATTTCCCGTTCCAAAAAGAGTGTCTTACGCAGGAATGTGGTGTCTTAGAAAGGAATGCAGCCACGTCATCGTCAGCCAATCAGCATGCTGCTTGCAGCCATTGCAGCATGGGTAGGTTTGAACCACGCAATGTGATTGGTCAACGCGTAATCAGCTTCCGCGTCAAAACATCATTTTACGTAGAATATAGTTTTTATGATAGTTCTTCCTATATTAAAGTATAGAAAATACTTGTTTTTACAAAAATGTTATATTTTATTTTCTGAACATTTTGAGCCTACAAAAAAACATAAATCCGTAGCAAAATACTAATTTCAGGAAAATGAACTATTTCCTTTAACAGCTACCGAGCAATGGCAGGAGACGACGCCGGTGTTAAAGGGACCCTCCCACCTTCAAAAAAGTTGATGAATTGGCATGAAAGTGATGTCGCTCGGTTCAGAAAGAGCAAAAACGAATATCTACCAAATTTCATCGAAAAATATTCACCGGTTTTCAAGATATTAGACTTTTACTTTTGTTTACTTTTTGGGATCTCCGCTGTTCCTAGCGACTTTATTTGGAAGCAATAGTTTGGCAGCTGAAAGTGCGGCACTTGTTGCGCGCAAAGCAGCATATACCACCGCGTGCTACAAAACGTTTTAGTCAAACATTTAAAAATCGTTAGATATCTGCGCTGGCGTCACATATTCAGAGGGGTATTCCTATGCATTAGCCCCTCTGAATCAAAATGCTGCAATTTTGAAATTCAATATTTCCGATTTAAGGCATTTCTCGATGTTGTGAGTGCCGAAACCGGTAATTGTGAGCCAGGGACCCCATTTTGGCTATCTCAACTCAAATCTAATGTTAACCCTCGCACGACCAGGCCATTTCTCATAACACGAACGACCAGGGGGGGGGTTATTACGACCCCCCCCCCCCTGGCGTTTCGAAACGGAAGGTCGTAGAGCTTAGCGGAAAAAATCAACGGATTGCTCTCAACGAGATCTCGCGATTGATGGTATATTTTTTGGTCCTAGGTCAACATTTGACCTACTTTTGACCGGTCAAAGGTCAAATTTTCGGAAAAATAGACTTTTTTCAACTTTCGGCGGCGATTGCGGCAACACGGTGGAAGATATCGACTTGAAACCTTCACTATCGTGTTCCTTGATCAATTCTCTATCGTTTGGTATGTATTTCGTTTCCCTAGCTCTAAAAATGGCGCGTTGGGAGCGCCGGAAGTCGGCAAGGTCACAGTCGGCGGCAGAAATTCGAAAAATCAAAATTTAAATTTTTGAAATCTGATTGTATTTTTGGATTTGGGAGGTCCATTTGCTCCCTATAGAAGCTAATATTGCTGCATATTCCCATTGAGGTGACAAGAATTAGCAAAATAGTGGTTCGGGCGCTTTTCAAAAATAGTACCGGACGCTGTTCCTCTTGTGACGTCATAGCTCCGTGACCTGACCTGGTCAAATTTCTTATACCATATGATAGCCAATACTTGCCCCAACATGCATGGCAAGTTTCATCACGATCCATCAACCGATGTCCGTACCACCGGCAGGAAACCTCGGGCGTTGGCACTCAGTTTGTGAAAATCCGGCCGGAGGCTGTACCTCTTATGACGTCATAACTCCGTGACCTGACATGACCCGATCAATTTTTTTCGGCAAAAGATGCGCAAAGGTTGCCCCAGAGGGTATTGAAAATTTCAGCCCGCTACAACAAGCCGTTTAGCGTGCACTTCGAAAAAACCTCAGGGGGGGGTTGATACAACCCCCCCCCCTAGGCGTTCTAGGGTTAAGGTGGGAGGGTCCCTTTAACAAGAAAATGATGCAGACAATGTAGACGATAAAAAACATTACAGATTACAGCATAACCCACGTTCTTGTGCCAAAACCCTAACTCGCAGTCTTGTATGTACACTCGCAGACTCCCACGTGCATGCGCGGTCCAGTGTGGGGCAGCCTTTATTATGCCGTGGGGTGTGACTTTTCCTCCGGATGTGACGCCGCATGTTACCACGTTTTACACAAGTGTTTTATGGAAAGCTTGTTTATAATGATATAACGTTATGCATACAGTGTATAATATTATTTTTACGTATACAAAATAAGAATGATAATTTAAAACAGCATGATATCCGATTTTTCCAATTTTACTTATTTCAATTCGTCAAACTGACAACAGGGTGAAAGCCTGAAGCTAAATAATCTTTAACTACTTATAAAGGCATTTGTCAAAATGCATTACCCAAGCTCCGCCCTTTCTTGTATCTCTACGCAGTGCTGTATCTTTGGCATATGGGGGTCAGGTCAAAGGTCTCAGGTCTCGTCACCAGATGCAATCTAAGGCCATTTTTTCTTGCGACATTTTAGGCAAATTGACGGACAATTTTAACCCATGCTCAACTACATAAGCCCCTAGCTGGATACCATTCACTAATGGGGGAGGAGTCGTTTACTACCCTCGTTAAAGGTTAGGTCAAGGTCAGGTCAAATGGGAAAGTCTGATTACGATTCTGATCAATAGCGAACGTAGTGCCGATTAACCCGGCACCGCCTGGGCTATTTCCGTACCTACGACAGCCTGGGGGGGGTCGGATCCGACCCCCCTGTTATCTCGAGAACCAATTGTCGCATCGAGCCCCGCGAGGCGGCGTTCGAAAGCTCTCTACGAGACCTTCCCAAAGCACTCTTAATATTTTGAAATTGAGGTCAACTTTCGGGTCAAGGTCAGGTCAAAGGTCAAATTCTAGGGTTTTGCATGATTAGGCTTACGGACAGCGGAATCGATAACTGC